ATTTGCAGGCAGTAGTCTGGGTCCAGCAGCGAGGCCAGCCGCCGCGCGCCGCGGTCGCCGATCTTGTTGTGGCTGAGGTCGAGCTGCGTCAGCATGTGCCCGAACGACAGGCCGCCCATGAGCACCTTCACCAGCTCGTCGTCGATCATGTTGCACGGCAGCGACAGGGACACCAGCGTCTGGCTCACGCGGATGTTCCGTGCAAGGTACTGCGCGTCGGATATCTTCATGCCGAACATGGCCCTCTCGTAATCCATGCCCAGGCGCTTGTTGCCGTAGGTGACGGAGAAGCTGCACAGGGCCGGCAGCTCGTCGAACAGGAAGCTGAAGTCCACGTGGGACGGGAACTGCGCGATGGTGAGCTGGAAGACGTGCAACCGCGAGGCCCTCACCTGCAGCTTCAGCGCCTCCCACTCGGGGGAGTTGTACTCCACGGTGATGGGCAGCCGCTCCAGCACCTCCTGCAGCTCCAGCTCCAAGAACGTCTGCTTCCACGAAAGGCCGTGCTTCTCCACCTGCGCGTTCCGGTGCTTGGCCTGCGTGCGACGCTTCCAGTAGCTCTCGTCGCTGATCCTGGTCGCCGCCTCCGGGAGGGGCATCTGGAGATCAAGCATCGCGTACACATCCTCGAGCTGCTTCCGTCCGAGCTTTGACTGCAAGTTGTCATAGCTCAGGAAGTTCGCCGCGACGCGCTTGAGACAAGTTTGCACCAAGCTCGGGGGCCGCACCCTGACTTTCTCAAGGGCCCGGAAGCGGATCGGGGCCTTCGACTTCGCACTGGCCGTCATGCCGCCTCGGGCTGGCCGACCAGCCCCCGCCGGGCCCAGGGAGGATGGGGTGGGTGGCAAACAGCCGCCCGCCCTCCCCCTCCGAGTGCGTCTCGCAGGGGACTGCGGCAGCCCCCTTAGGCTAAACGGCTACGGAGGGAAAGGAGGAGAAGGAGGAGGAGGAGGAAGAGGAGGACCAATGTAAACCCAAGACGCATCAATGATGTTGCAATGAACTCTCCCTCCATATTCCCTCTTCATGGGTGTCTACGAGCACTTGTTCTTTTCATTGCGGGAAGTGCCGCTTTGAAAGGCAACCGTTTGAGAATCTTAAATGGCGCCATAGCGCAAATCCTGAAACTTCAACGCCGCGAATCAGCGTGACTGTTGCATCCAGACAATCATAGTTCGTTCCAGAACGTCGTTCCTGGGACTTCAACACCGCGGATCAATGTGACTGTTGCGTCCTGAAAATCCTACATCGCACCAGAACGCAATTTGTGGGACTGCAACCTTGCGAATTCTTGATCGCAGTGCAAATTTGTAAGATGCATGCGCGCGGTGCTTAGGCGAGAGCGATTAAAAGGAAACTCCCTCCATCCTTAAAGCTGCTGCCACATATTTAAAACGAATGTACACGGCGCTGAGGCGAGACCACGACTTCGAAAACAACTCGCCGTCCGCCCTTGAAGCTGTTGCAGACATTTAAGACGAATGTGAACGTTGCTAAGACAAAACAACATTTTGAAAACGACCCGCCATCAATCGTGGAAACGGTAAACTTTCCCGACAACTCTGCGCGGCGCTAAGGCGAGGGACACAAGCTTAAAACGGCCCGCCCTCCATCTTTGAAATCGTTGCATTGTTCAAGCTTCAGGGTAAAAATGCCATGGAAGTCTCAGGCGAAACGCCCAGCCCGCCCTAGCCACGTCTGGGGCTGCGACAAGGAAGCATTGCTTATACGGAAAAGGATGGCGGAGCAACGGCAGAGAGCAGGATGAGGGAGGAGGAGGAGGAGGATGAGGAGGAGGAGGGAGATTAGGATGAGGGAGAGGACGGATGAGGATGAGGAAGGAGGGTAGACAGGAGGAGGACGAAGAGGAGGGGGAGGATGAGGAGGAGGAGGAGGAGGAGGAGGATTGAAGGACGAGGTGTGACGAGAAGGGAGGAGGAGGGTCAGAGGAGGATGAGGAGGAGACGGAGAATGAGGGAAGAGTCATAGGGAGGAACACCTCGAGGTGGAGGGTAGATGATAAGTGAGATAGGCAGGGAGAGAAAAAGAGAGAGAGAGAGAGAGAAAACAAAACAACAAAACAAAACAAAAAACATTGGCCTGGCGAAGGACCCAACCATCTGCAAGCGTGAATAACGCAGTTGTGAAGATCGTCTTCGGTGTAACCCCCTATAGGGTCACGAAAAATGTGAGGGGTGTTCTGGAATGGGTGCGGCGGGCGCATGCGAACGCAGCAACTGCGGCCTCCGGTGGAGCTCCCCATGGGGCCACGAAACGTGTGAGGGGGTGTACCGACATTGATGCGGCGGGCGCATGCGATCGCAGCCACTAGGGCCTTCGGTGGAGTTCTAGCTACTGTGGCCTTCGGTGGAGCTCTCTTGTGTACGGCGGGCGCATGCGAACGTAGCCACTGAGACCTTCGGTGGATCTCCCCATGGGGTCAATAAAAATTTGAGGGGTGTTCTGGAATGGGTGCGGCGGGCGGATGCGAACGCAGCCACTGCGGCCTTCGGTGGAGCCCCCTATGAGGCGACGAAACATGTGAGAGGTGTGCGGCGGGCGCATGTGAACGCAGCCACTGAGGCCTTCGGTAGAGCTCCTCACGGGGCCACGAAGCGTGAGAGGTGTGCCGAAATAGGTGCGGCAGGCACATGCGAACGCAACCACTGGGGCCTTCGGTGAAGCTTCCCATGAGGCCACGAAAAATGTGAGGGGTGTGCCGACATGGTGCGGCGGGCGCATGCGAACGCAGCCACTGGGGCATTGTGTGGAGCTCTTTATGGGACAGCGAAGGGTGCGAACGGTTTGCCGACATGGGTGCGGCGGGCGCATGAGAACGCAGCCACTGAGGCCTTTGGTGGAGTCCCCATGGGGCCACGAAGCGTGTGAGGGGTGTGCCGAAATGGGTGCGGCGGGCGCATGCGAACGCAGCCATTGGGGCCTTGGGTGGATCTCCCTACGGGGCAATGAAACGTGTGAAGAGTGTGCCGAAATGGGTGCGGCGGGCGCATGCGAACTCAACCACTGGGGCCTTCGGTGGAGCTCCCCATGGGGCCACGAAACGTGTGAGGGTTTGCCGACGTGGGTGCGGCAGGCGCATACGAACGCAGCCACTGCGGCCTTCGGTGGAGCCTCCTATGAGGCCACGAAACATGTGAGTGATGTGCCGAAATGGGTGCGGCGGGCGCATGCGAACGCAGCCACTGCGGCCTTCGGTGAAGCTCCTCATGGTGCCACGAAGCGTGTGAGGTGTGCCGGAATGGGTGCGGCGGGCGCATGCGAACGCAACCACTGCGGCCTTCGGTGGAGCTCCCCATGGGGCCACGAAGCGTGTGAGGGGTGTGCCGAACTGAGTGCGGTGGACAAGTGCGAAAGCAGCCATTGGGGCCTTGGGTGGATCTCCCTACGGGGCAACGAAGCGTGTGAAGAGTGTGCCGAAATGGGTGCGGCGGGCGCATACGAACGCAACCACTGCGGCCTTCCGTGGAGCTCCCTCTGAAGCCACGAAACGCGTGAGAGTTTGCCGACGTGGGTGCGGCGGCCGCATGCGAATGCAGCCACTGCGGCCTTCGGTGGAGCTCTGTATGTGGCCACGAAACGTGTGAATGGTTTGACGAAATGGGTGCGGCTGGCGCATGCGAACGGAATCATTTGGGCCTTCGGTGGGGCTAGCTCGCTACGGAGCCCGGGAACGTGCGAGGGGTGTGCCGAAATGGGCGCGGCGGGCGCATGCGACTGCAGCCACTGGGGCCTTCGGTGGAGCTCCTTTTGAGGCCACTGGGCGTGTGCGGGGTGTACCGAAATAGGTGCGGCGGGCGCATGCGAACGCAGCCACTTCGGTCTTTGGTGGAGCTCCCTATGGGGCCACGACGCGTACGAGGGGTGTGTCAAAATTTGTGCGGCGGGGCACGTGCGAACGTAGCCACTGGGGCCTTCGGTGGAGCTCCCAACGGGGCCACGATGCGTGTGAAGGATGCGGAGGGCACGTTCAGGGATGGGAGGAGGGAGGACGGGGAGGAGGATGAGGAGGATGAAGGACAACGCGGGGCGCTGTCTCTTCAAAACGAGGATACACCACCACATGATGGCTGGGGAACAAAAGAGACACAGAGAGCAATAGATAGAGACATAGAGAGAGAGAGAGAAACAAACAAACAGAAAAACGAAAGAGAGAGAGAGAGAGAGAGAGACAGATAACGAGCGGGAGAAACAGAGAGAGAGAGGGGAGACGAGGAGAGAAGTAGAGAAGACCAACACAAACGAGAGGATGAGAAGGAGGAGGAGGAGGAGGAGGAGGAGGAGGAGGAGGAGGAGGGAGGAGGAGGAGGAGAAGGAAGGATGAGGCGGAAGGCGGAAGGAGGAGGAGCAGGGGGACAACTATGATGAGTAGGGGATTGCGACGAGCAGGGAGGCGGGAGGGAGGAAGGAGGGAGGATGAGGGAGGAATGGAAGGACGATGAGTGGGAGGGAGAGAGGAAGAGGGGAGGAGGAGGAGGAATCGTAGGAGGAGGAATAGGCGGAGGAGGAAGAGAAGAAGAAGGAAGAAGAAGAAGAAGACGAGCAGGGGGATGAGGGAGGGGGAGGGGGGGGAGAGGAAGGATAAGGAGGATGCGGGACGAGCATCAGCCAGGATATTAGCGAGGAGGCATGTGTACGAGGATTCAGGAGAGCCCTGGGGTGATGGCCCGCCCTCCAAAGGAGGCGCGAGGAGAAATGAGCAAGGTGCCTCTACGTGCTGCAGCCTCCGGGAGACTCGAAGCTGATCACCAGAAGGGCCAGGAGGGAGGGGGGAGGAGAGGAGGGGAAGACGAAGACAGAGACGAGTAGCAGAAGAATGCGGATGAGGAGGATGAAGAGGACGAGGAGGAGAAGAAGGAGGTGGATGAAGACGGTGAAGGCGCGGAGGACGGGGAAGCGGAAAAACCCCAAGACGAGACAGAGGGCGAGGAAGGTAATGATGGTGACGATGACGGTAACGATGATGGTGCTGATGTCTATGATGATAGTGCTGCTGATGATGCTGATGACGATGACGATGACGATGGTGATGCTGATGATGATACTTATGATGGTGATGGTGGTGGTGATGATAAGGAGGATGGTAATAGTGATGGTGATGGTGATGGTGGTGACGGTGATGATGATGATGCTGATGGTGGTGATGATGATAATGACGATGATGTGATGATGCTGCTGCTGCTGCTGATGATGATGATGATGATGATGATGATGGTCAGGCTGTTGATGATGACGATGATTATTATGACTGTGGTGGTGATGATGACGATGACGATACTGATGAAGATGATGATGTTGGTGATGCTGGTGGTGATGATGATGATGATGATGACGCTGATGCTGCTGCTGATGATGATGGTGATGGTGATGGTGATGGTGATGATGATGATGATGATGATGATGATGATGATGATGATGATGATGGTGATGGCGACGATGATGATGAAAATAATCATGAGCCGAACGACGACGATCCAGAAGTGCGGATTAGGAAGATAATGAAACGGGATAACGGGACATATCGCCACATTGATGATTGGTGATGATGATGATGCTGATGATGCCGCGGGGGATGAGGAGGATGCGAACAATCTCGTGATCGCACAGCTCAATACGCATCGGGAAGGGTGGCCTCTTGTCCCGCAGCCAGAGTCCGCCAGGAATTTCACAACTGAAGGCGACTTTTGAGACGTCTCCCAAAATATTACACAACTTACGTAGGTCAAACCTCATTCCTGCACGAACAACGCATCCATGATTAAGAAAAGGAGCACATCCAGGATGGAGATCGAAGCCCCCATTCTCGAGACTTTCAGTCCGCTGGGCATTGTCCGACGCCTCTGAGCACACGCGTGCCCGGCCGAGAGACAGGAGGACGAGGACGAAGAGGACGAGGAGGCGGAGGCGGAGGCGGAGGCGGAGTACGCGATGGAGGGGGAAGAGGAGAAAGAGGAGGAGGAGGAGGAGGAGGAGGAAGAGGAGGAGGAGGAGGAGGAGGAGGAGGAGGAGGAGGAGAAAGTGAAGGAGAAGGAGGAGGAGAAAGTGAAGGAGGAGGAGGAGGAGGAGGAGGAGGAGGTACAGCCCCCCCATCCAGAAGGTAGCCTCCTCTCCCCGACGCCTCCGAGCCCGCGCGTGCCGACGGGCAGAAAAGCCGACCAACGCCTGCAGCCCTCTGAGCCTCCCGACCGGCCGAGCCGACAGAGCACGGGCGCCTCGAGGAGAGGCGTCGACAACTCCTCCTCCTCCTCCGCCTCCTCCGCCTCTCTCCGCCTCCTCCTCTTGCTCCTCCTCCTCGTCCTCCTCCTCCTCCGCCTCCTCCTCCTCCGCCTCCTCCTCCGCCTCCTTCCTGGGGTTATTGAGCGCCGTCTGGCCCTCCTCGGGTCTCCAGAAGCCCCTGGGGACACCTCCGCGATGACCTCTGGAGGCCTCCTCGTCCTCCTCCTCCTCCTCCTTCTCCTTCTCCTTCTCCTTCTCCTTCTCCTTCTCCTTCTCCTTCTCCTTCTCCTCCTCCTCGTCCTCCTCCTCCTTTCGCTGCGATGCTGCACTCGTTCCATACTTGTGGCAAGAATGCAGCATTGCAGTATGACGTGCCTTCGCTAGCAGAGAGCATGCACCACCGTAGTAGAGAGGATGCAGCATAGCTGCTCTCTGGTGTGGCCTAGCACAAGGAAGCGCAAGATACTCAATAGGCAACCATATGTGAACCCACCCCTGCAGATCAGCTTTTCGAAACACCAGCGGGGCCAGAAAGCATCAGAAAGCCAAAGGTGTCTGCAGCCAAGCGAACCCCTACTGCAGGTCCGTGCCGTGTCGACCCTGGCGTTGGTTCCTGACACCGCGCTGGATCGTTCAACCTTGAACGATCGGCCACTGCCGCAACGTCCGATCGTTCAACATCGATCGATTCTGGGTCGCCGGCGGCGTTCAACCTTGAACGCCCGCGCTGGGGTCGCCGCTGGTCGACGCGACGCAAACCTACCGTACGAGGGTGTCCGATTGCACCAGCAGGGGCAGGGTTCGCCAAGTGGCACGTCTCGGATTCACCCCAGCCACACCCAAGAGTGACCCTAGGCAAGAGTGACCTTTGGTGCGCGGATTCGGGGGGGCGCGGGGACGAAGCGTGCGGGCCGATGCTGGAGGGACCCCTGCAGGCCCGCACCAAAGATCACTCGGGCGACATTTACCGCGTAACCAATCACCTGCGACAGACAAGGCCCCCCCAGCTCCGGCTTCGTCCAATCGAAGCCTCCGTCGACGCGACGGCACTCTCGCCGTCGCTCGGATGTCCATTGCCCGTGCATTCTTCGATTTCGTGCGTGTAGTATTTGCTCGATGATCCAGGATGTTCCTCGATGGTCCTCGCCGAGAAAAAGCACACGTCCGAGCGATTCCGAAGGCTCGGGCTCCGTCCAACCCCGGCCTCTGTCGACGCGGCGGCACTCTCGCGGCGCTCTGGCCGCACCCGCCACTCGGTTTCCGCTGCGCCACTGCCCCCGCGCGCCCTTGCGCACACAGTGAACTTGGTGAACCTGCGACTTTTTAGAGGCACCACAGCAGCCAGGTGGCCACGTGTGACCCCTACCACCATACTCCGCTCGGGAGCTCCCGAACGAAGTGAAGCCCCCCCCCCGCCCGCTAGAAAGCCTCACCATCGCTCGGACGTCCATTCCCCGTGCGTTTACCGGTTTCGTGCGTGTTTTTCTTCGCAAGATAATCCAGGCTGCTCTTCGATGGTCCTCGCCGAGAAGAAAATGCACACGTCCGAGCGATGCCAAGAAGCGTGGGGGGTGGGGGTAGGGCTCACACGTGGACACCGACCAGCACACAAAAAAGCACGTGTCACCACGCACGGGCCGGCCCGCCCAATTGTCCCGGGCTCCCCGCGGCTGCTTCGAGGGAGAGACACGGCCCCTTCTCGCCGTAATGGTGAGCTCAGCGCCATCAGCTTGATCTTCTTCAAGCATCGGCACGTTGAAATCATACAGCAGCCTGGCGCGCAGGAGCTCAAACGATCCCTCCCTCCAGCGGCGCCTGCTTTGTACCTGGCACTTGGCAGGATCCTTCAGCGCAGGAGCATCTGCAACATGATTTATCTGCACGACCTGGAAGGACTACTCTGTTCCGATATGTTACTATGGGCGTTTCTTTTCTTGCCTTACCATATCTCCGAAGGTCCGGACGACCCTAAGGTGCCCCTGACGAAGACGATATAGAGGGCCTCCAAGCGCCCTAGGACAGAGGCCCCCCTGTCTGGAGGATTCCCAGACGTCCAAGAGGCGGCCCAGACGGGCCAGACAGACACCCTCTAATAAACCTCTCATGCCCTTTGAAACCCCGCTTTGGTTTCTTCCACGACCTGTCTGGGGCCCTTCCAGGAGCCCGCCAATGGACCCACTGGGGCCTCTTCGAGACCTCCCACGACCTCGAGCTCTCTCGTGAGCATGCTCCGCCTGCGCGCAACGCAGCGGCAAGGCGTGCCCTCGGCAACCTGTCTATGTTTCCCACTTCGTGCGAAGCTTATGTTACGGACCTGTGGAATCAGCAGACATACGCCGGTAGTGGAAGCCTTCCACCTGGAAGGACGCCTGCCTCAGGGCGGCTGGAAAGTGCATTGCCTCACATGCCGCCATGGGGGTACGAACTTTCTAGCCGCCCTAGGACTAGCGTCTCCCACGGTGGAAGCCTGCATTTCCCACCAGTCTTTGTTCGCCGTTGAGACAGCGGCCCTTCACTATGATGATTATGGTGGTGGTGAGGAGGATCATGACGATAACGATGATAATCACCATGATCGTGATGATCACCATGATCGCAAGGACGATTCTGCCGTTCATGATGTTTGTGGTCATGAACATGCAGGGTACTCGCCGCCACCACCATTATCATCGACACGAGTCCCATGGACTTGTCTTGCATCCCTTTTTCTGCCCGCGCGCGCCATCTGCCAGTCCCGCCGCTTCTGCTGGGGCGGCGAGCCGAAGTCGCTGGAGCCGAGCGCCAACGACAGGCCTTCTACGTGACGCCTCAGCCGCTGTTCGGAGAACGCCAGTGGCGCACGAACACCGTGGCATTCTGCAGATCTAGCTGTACAGGAGGAGGACAGTGGTAGGGGCAGGGATGCGGACAAAAAGCTGCGGTGGGCGTGGGATGCCGTGGTCGCTTGCTCTTACTCCTCCCTGGTGGCGCGCCGGCGCTGAGTCGCCTCCGTCTGGTGTCAGCCAGCAGGGGCAGGTGGCCCGGTGGCACCAGGGGCAAGGAGCTCCTAGCTTGGGCGGAACAGCTCGCACAGGCGTCGGTCTCGGTACATCTCGTCGGCGGAGGCAGGCGGCAGCTCCGAGAAGAGGTCCTCCAGGATCGCCAGCGCAAGCGACTCTCCCACCTCCACGCGGGAGCACGTCTCCTCGTCGAAGACGATGTGCTTCTCCGTCAGCCGCGAGGCCGCCCAATCCAGGAACACCCGTGGCAGCGAGTTGGCCGGGGAGGCCTCGGAGAACGAGTTCGTCTCAGCCATCAGTACCTTGAGCAGGGCATCAAGGTCAAACAAGTCCCTGGCCTGCGCTGCTGCCTGCTCTCGAGCAGACCTCGTGATGCGCGGGAACCTGGAAGCCGCGTGCTCGTCCAGGGCTGCGCGGCGGATGTCGTCCTTGTTCAAACCGAGGGTGTCACCCAGATCCGCGGTAAGGCGGTTCTCGTAGTGCGTGGGGTTACCGTCATCTGAAGCCAGGCCGCGCTGGATCCTGTCGTGTGCAAGCATCTTGATGGCGACGACCTTATAGTCTCCCACCAACTTCGTGACGAGGCCGCGGAAATCAAGCACAACGCCACGGATTTCGAGCCCAACTTGCTCTATCACCCGCGCCTGCACGGCCTGGCAATCCATGAAAGCCTCCGCCACTCGACTCAAATAATTCGCTGCTGCAGCACCTTCGGCATGCCCGTGATGCACTATCAAGCGCATCAACGCCAGCAAGTGCCCGTGCATGGACGTGCCCTGAAAGGCCTGGATGCCACCGCTGTAAGCCGCCTTGATGAACTTCAGGGAGTAATTGCCGGGCGTGTCGCGATAGAGAAAACCTGCCACGCCCTTGACATGTTCGGTGGCAACTCATGGGAGCCTCCCATACCATCTTGTCGGCTCTTGCGAACCGACGCTAGTCGACTCTGATCGATGCTAAATCGACGCTACTCGACGCTAGCCGACGCTAAATAGGCGCTATCTCATCGAACCCCAGACACTAATCGACGCGAAGCAACGACGCTGAAAAACGGAATTAAGAAGGTACGCCAGGCTCCCATGATTTGCTACCGAAGACGTGGTCGGTGAAGACCCTCTCCACCTCCGCAGGGCTCAACTTTGCTGGCTCCTCTGTGGCCTCTTCGGGCAACGGCACTTGCACGGCTGGGCCCATGAGTCGCTCTACCAACCTCGTGTGACGCTCGCTGCGCGAGTTCGCCTTGGGCGGGGGAGCAGGTTCGCTGGAAATCTCGTCGCTCTCGTCGCTGCTCATGCCGTCGTCGTCGGAACTCTCCTCTCCGACCTGTTCCGAGCGTCGAAGCTTCCGGACCATGCCCGTGCGCTCGTTGACCTGCCTCATCCCCGACAAGTCCACCGTGTAGATTTGACCACGGGCTGTGTACTTGATGTCCTGCTGCCCTGACGCCTCCGCGCACCTCAACATCCTCTGCAGCTCGGCATCTACGCTCGGGGAACAAACCATTGCGCAAACACGAATTTTCGGAGGTCCGCGCGGGCTTCTGGGATCGGCGCTGGACCCCCCCCTCCCTGGCGCGCGGAGCGCGCCAGGAACGGCGCCGGAGGCGCCGCCAGGGGGCCCAGCGCCGATCCCAGAAAGCCGCGCGCACCTCCGGGAAAAAGCGCACGCTTTGGCGGCGCGCAGAGGGGGGTAGGGGGAGGGGGGAAGGCTTCTTAGAAGGAGGCTGCTTCTTAGAAGGCGCCGGCCTTAGATTTGTAGACGAGGCCCGCGCCTTCTAAGCAGCAGGGGTGCTTCTAAGAAGCCTTCCCCCCTCCCCCTACCCCCCTGTGCGCGCCGCCAAATGCTTCTGCCACGCTGCTCTGCTCCCCGACACGCGCTGCCACGTGTCCAGCCGGACCTCCCAGACGGCCCTGCGGGCCCTCTTCGGCGGGGGCTCCTCCGCCCCCCCGGCCGCGAGCCCGCGCGCTTCGCCGAGGCCACCTCCCGCTGCGGCGGCGCCCTCGCCCTCGCCGGCACCTCCCGCGCAGCCCGACGCCATGGGGCGCGCCCCTCGGCGCTCGGGGGCGGGGCCCCGAGCGCCGCGCGGAGGGCAGCGCCTCGGCGCGCGCGCGCGCGAGCGCCGAGGTGGTGTTTTTCGCCTGCCAGGGCACGAGCCGCTGCTTTTTACCTGGCGGCGCACACGAAGGGGTGGAGGGGGGAGAGGCTCGGGACGAGGACGACAGCGCCTGGAAGTGGGAGCGTGGTCAGCGCGTCGCGCCGAAGGGTGGTGGGTCAGAGCCAGCGGCGCGGCACGCCATGCAGATGTGACTGGCCGCACTCCAGGAGTGGTCCCGAACCTAAGGTGGCCCCTGGCCACCCCAAGCGGCCTCCAGACGTTCCGAGGAGCTCCCCGCAGGGCCGCAAGACGGCCACAAGACGGGCCCAAGACCGCCCCGCCCCCACATGGCCCCGATCCCCCGCCCCAAGAATCTCTCAGGACTACCTCGGCGGAGGCGGAGGCGGAGGAGGAGGCGGAGGACGAAGCATCTTCGTGCATGTAGTCCACAGAGCATCATCCAGTGTACCTTGCACCCCCTTTTCCCTAAGCGCGGTGGCGGATCTGCACGCCAGCGCAGTTGGACTACTCGGCAGTAGGCTGCAGCCTAGCATATCTGAACCATGGCTTGCCCAGCACAGAAAGTGCTCTGACAGCGCGAATGCTGCGACTGGCAGGGCCCTGGTAGTTAAGGCGAGGTTTCCTGGTCCTGCTGGGTCGTCGTAGCGTCTCGGCAAGAACTTGATCGGATCCTGCTTGAGGTCCTGGGGTCCTGGCAAGCCCTCCATGTGGGTTCCTGACACGGTCCTGTCAAAATCCTGGTATGTACAACAAGGTCCTGGATGGGGTCCTGGCAGTTGATGGAGGTCTTGGCGACGCTGCAACAGCCTGGGAGTGCTCAAATCGGTGGGGCACAAAGGTGGGGTTGGGGCAAAGGTGGGACACAAGACACAAGAGCCCGCGCCGAGGCACCTACGAGGGTGCGGCGGGAGGGCGCCGGGGCGACGGTATGTCTCAGAAGCTGGAACTGAACACTGGGAGCCGGGGTCGGGAATAAGGTAGCCGGATTCGGAGAAATGCGAGTGGGTGTTGGAACCGTCTTCGGAGAATTGGGAACCAGACGTGGCCTGCCGCTCCCTGGATGGATTCATTGCTGCACTTCGTTGGTGCTGACGAGCCGCCACAATCGGATACATGAGACTGGGGCCAAGGCCGACGTCGGAGAGATGGAACCCGGAATTGGAGCTGGAGCTGGAGCCGTAAAGAAAAGAGCTGGAGTCGGGGCTGGAGTCGGAGCCCGAGTCCGAACCAGAAAGGTGGGAGCTGGAGTCGGAGCCGCAGTCGGAGAGATGGGAGCTGGAGTCGGGGAGGGGAACAAAAACAGTTGGAGCTGGTTTCGGAGCCAAGGTCGGAGAGGTAGGAACTGGGGTTGGAGGGACAAGAACTTCCGCCAGAGTTGGGAAATCGGGAGTCGTGCCGCCGAGCTGCTCGCGAGTCGTGCCGCTTGCGTCGGAGAATCGGGAGTCGTGCAATGGTCAAGGTCGGCGCACGAAACCATCTTCGAGGGTTCCCCACAGACTCGTTGAAGCAATGTCAAGTACTTGTGATGCTGTGACGGATGATGGGGATGATGGAGCAAAGGGTGGGTTGGAAGGAAAATCGCTCCGAACGGCCCCTGGATAAAGGAAACGCGTTAAATCAGAGTATCCAGCTGGGCCCGTGCCCCAGCCCCACCTTGGGATAACCCTCCCTCTACGAACCCCCGATCAAATAGGATCCAAAGACGGACTTGGCAGAGTCCAGATAGGGTCCCGGTGGGCCGTGCAGGGTCGTAGAAGGCTTCTGTTAGCGTGCCCGTGAGGTCCTGGCAAGGCTCTGCCAGGAACCTGATGGGGTACCGGAAAGGTCCTGATGGGGCCTTTGTAGGGATGCTCCCTAGGTCTTGGTCAAGTAAATTCGAAACGAGTATCAAGGACGGGTGGTGCGGACGCAAGACCCTTGGAGGCCGAAGTTGGGATTTTTTGGGCGGCGGGCGACCAGTAAAAACGGCAAAGGAGGGGCCACAGAGGCAAGGACACAAGGGCACCCTAGATAAAGGCGCGCGTCCTTACTAGGCGCGTTGACTGTAAACCTTGCACCAGTCGGTGCGTGAACAGAAAGAAAAACATGCAGACCACGTGCCTTCAGCAATGCGGCCAGACCTTAACTATACGCTCTTGCTCGCGAGCTGCACAGCTGTCTTGGCGGAAGTAGTCAGCGAGTCGCGCATGGGAGCCCGAAACTTCCGGTGCATTCTTCCACACAGAGTGCCCCCAAATTTGCCGAGGCCTACTTCGCCTTCTCGCTCTGGCAGGCTTTCGCAAATCCAAAGTTCCCGGTACAAACACGGAGCGCCGAACTGGATCGCTGCCTGGTCGCCTCGCCAGCTGCCCCGTGAACACCAACTGTCTGCAAGCGAGGTGAATGCTGAGCTTGTCTTGCCCGGCAAAGTGGAGTATGGTTGAGTTGGAAACCCTACTGAAATAAACATGGTGAGTTCGGCAGATTTTCCAGACACAGCGGTTCTGAAAGGCATCCAGCCTCTGCCTACCGTTCCGCCTGATTAAAGCATGCAGCAAGCAACGCGTACATAATCCAAATATAATCCTGGACAGGTCTTGGTACTGGTAAGGTCCTGATGGGCTATTGGTAGGAATGCTTGTAAGGTCTTGGCAGAATCTAAGTCGAATCCTGGAAATGTCTTCGTAAGGCGCTGGTGCTGGAGGATCAGAAGAACCACTACATCACTGTTGCTTGACGGCGGGTTGAGACCCAGAATTGCGACATGGCCTGTTTCTTTTCGAGCCCTGGTCCAAGGGAAGAATCTCAGGAAGTCGAGAACAGCAAAACCTCAGAAACTCGTTCCTTTCTTTTGAAGGGCCTGCCCGCCTGGATGACAAAGACGACGCCAATCGTCGACGACGACGACGACGAACGACGACGCACGACGCACGACACCCGACGCACGAAGAACGACGAACGACGAACGACGAACGACGAACGACGAACAACGCACGACGACGACGACGACGACGACGACGACGACGACGACGACGACGACGACGACGACGACGACGATAGATCGACGACGGACGACGCACGACGACGAGGACGGAAGAAGGACGACGGACGACGGACGACGACGACGGACGGCGGACGACGGACGACCACGGCGGACGACGACAGACGCTGGCGACGACGTCGATAGTGACACCGACATCGATGGCGTCGGCGGCGCCGCCGATAACTACTCGGGTCGGACGAGGAGGAGGGGACAGCAACGCAGGGCTCAGCAAGCCGGCTCGTGCAGCTGGCTTGCCCGGCGCCCCGCGGCGCCAAGGGCGACCATGCATCGAGGAATGTGCCTGGCGGCGGGGCCAAGACCGGCGGCGCGCGGCAGACTTCGCCCCCTCCCCCACCAAGGACACGAGCCCTGAAGGAAACGGGCCCTGGACACCAAGGCTTTCCCCTGTGACCGGTCCCTTGTATCCTGCATCGTGTCTGGACGGTCCGGGGCCCAGGGCGGGCCCCGGGAACCCGAAAACCTCCTCCCACTCCTCCTCCTCCTCCTCCTCCTCCTCCTCCTCCTCCTCCTCCTCCTCCTGCTCCTCCTCCTCCTACCCCTCCTCCTGCTGCTCCCCCCCCGACCTCAGGAACCCGAAAAGCGGCGAAAAACCTCAGGACCCGTTTCCG